TTTGACGTTTCACAGGTTCATGATATTTGTAGGGGTTGAAAAATAGGGGTTGCGGCTTGTAGGGGGTAGGGTTTTGTAAATGGTACGTCTTTGGTATTAGTCAAATACGTTCTATCATTTAGAAGCTTCTGATCCCGGTACAGGAGAATATTTATGTATTTTAGGAATATTTGTGTATTAGGAGTACATATCCTTACGCAAATGATTCGTAACTGTTTTATATCTACACATATATTTTTCTGAATTTTATAATCCTTAAATGTATCGCCCACTTTTCTAACCTGTCACACGTATAACTCAGTTCATGATGGTTCTCTGAATATTTCGTCAAGTAGACCGACTCAGTACTTATGTCGCATTGATATACAACAGACACGGACTCACAAACCAACATAAATGATAAACAAGAACGTGTGTGATGCAGATATCTTTAAGCAACAGAAAACTTGTGAATGGAAGTTTGAATATTATCGCAAGTTCAATACTTCCATTGTTAAAGGTAGTCGTAGATTTTTGAAAATTATTACAGTGAGTATCACGGTCAAAAAAATGAAAATCGCTGAAACGTACAGTAGCAGACAAAAGTTTGGAAACAAATATTCACATTATTATGAACTATTTCATATACCTAAATTAAAATTGGCAAGGAACAGATAATACAAATATTAAAGTCTACATTTGGTTCCCGTACTAATACAAGGTTTCAGAAGTGTTGACATTTCTCAAAGATTAACAATGGACAAAGGGACGATCTCGAAAATTATCAGTAAATATCACGAATACGGATCAACAGCAACGCGGCCCAGGTGCGCAGAAAAAACCGATTATGTATTGGATCGCTACATTAAACGTTTGTCCCATGAAGATAATCGAATGCCAGCCACACAGATTTCCATAAGAATCGTACAAGAGGGTGCCGAGAACCTTTCTATCTAGGCGTCCAGTGCAAAAGCCTCTCATTTAAAAAAAATCGTATTGCTCGGCGTGAATTTTCTAAAACTCATCTAACTTGGGAAAAACAGCAATGGAATACAGTTTTATGGAGCGATGAAAGCAAATTTAACTTGTTTGGATCTAACGGTACAGCATATGTGAAATGTCCAATACGAAAAAGATTCGACAAAAAGTATCAGTTGCCAACAGTTAAGCACGGTGGAGGCAACATCATGGTTTGGGGCTGTTTTTCTATTTCTGGAACCGGTCCAATTGTTAAAATTGTTGGGAAAATGGATCAAGATGTTTACAAGGATATTCTTAGTGAACACGTGCTCCCTTTTGCTGAAGGAGATATAATAATAATAATAATAATAATAATAATAAATAGTCTTTATTTAGGGGGCGAAGTTTAGCATAATGCTACTCTGCCACTTGACCCCCCCCCCAAAAAAAACTGAAAAAAAACAATACAAAAAACATAAATACGAGTACATTTGATAAGTTTAAAATGTAGGTGTATAAAAAATATGGTATATAACATATATAAGTGAAGGCTATTCAATATTTCATGATTTAAAAGTATAAAATTGTAACAGTCATACAAAACAAAGGAGTGCTATATTTGTGTGAGGTGACAGATAAATTTTATCAAGTAATTTATATACTTCTATTCAAAATAAATTTCTTCATATGTCTTTTAAATTCATCATATGATAGCAATTTTGTGGATCGAGGTAGAGCATTGAAAAAAATAATAGCGTTGTAGGTGAAGCATTTACGAAAGAATGATGTCCTGTGGAGGGGCATTGTGAGTGTTTCAGTGAATCGAATGTCGCTAGAATGGATATTGCTTCTAGATATCAGCTTATTTCTCAAAAACGGCAGCAAAAGCCTGTGCTAGTAAGTAACTAGGTGTAGCTCACACAGTTCATTTACTCTCAACACTTCATGTCATTGAAAAAAGGGCTGATATATTATATTTTTTCAAATTATTGATCAACCTACAACAACATGAGTTTTGGATTTTTTGGAGACGTGCTAGAAATATTGAGTCAAGAAATGGAAGATAAACTAAATCGCAATAACTAATTTTGAACATTACCAAAGATTCACACAAAATTTTTTTAGTTCTAAAGTCAAGAAATTGTTTATTCAGATATAATTGACGTAAAATTGAAAAACAACTCTTACTGGTATTATTTACATATATGGTATAGAATTTAGACATTGATCTAAAGTTACGCCCAAGTTTTTCACTGACTCACTTACTTCTATAGTCTCACCATTTAATTTTACTTTAAAATTTCTTTTGCCATCCCATCTAAATAATTTTGGTGAAAAAATGATGAATTTCGATTTTAAAGGGTTCAACTGAAGGTTATGATTTTTTGCATACATACTAATAGATGTTATATCTTCATTTACCTCAGATTCACCATTTCGAATGTCGTGATTATGGAAATGACTGTAGATCTGTGAATCGTCGGCAAAGAATTGGATATTACAATATTTAAAAACTGAGTGGAGATCAGACATATACAAAACGAATAGAAGTGGCCCTTGAGGCACTCCGGAGGAAATGAGGCACTTTGAAGATTGAACCATGTCAATGTGTACAGTTTTAGTATATCGATTTCCTAAGAAGCTCTGAATCATTTTTGAGGCAGAGTCAGAAAAACCAAAATATTTGCACTTGGCTACTAGAAGACGATGATATATAGTATCGAATGCCTTAGAGAAGTCATGAAAAAATAATGATGTGATCATATGTTGATCCCAAGCTCTAACAATGTTATCGATTAAGTCTAATAGGGCACCTGCAGTGTTATATCCGTTTCGATAACCGCATTGTTTGGGAGGCAAAATTTTATGTTTAGAGAGATAATCGTAAATTTGGGCGTACATTGCTTTTTCTAATAATTTGACCAAACCAGGTAAAATACTAATTGGTCTTAAATCAGAATATAATTTTGGTTTACTTATTTTAGCTGAAGGTAACACTAATGCTTCTTTCAATGATTCTGGAAAGAATCCCCTTTCTAAACAGGTATTTATGATGTGTAAAATGTGTTTTAGCATTCTGAGTGACACGCCATCGCTTCCTAAGGCATTCGATTTCAGAGACTGGAACATCGATTTTAAATCAGTCATGTCGATTGGTTTAAACTTGAATCCATCACTAGAATAGTGATTCTTTTCATAATGCTCAATCTTCTCTGTGCATTAATAAATGGCGTTATTCCAAATGGAACAGAAATAATTATGTCAGTAGGGTTCTTTAAATGTGGAGGAATATCGGTATTTTGTGACTGTTGGATACGCATTGATTTTAAGGATCTATAAAACATTTTTGAATCATTTTGTTGACGGAGGGATAATAAATATGCTGCTTTTTCTAATTTGACTTAAAGTTGAATTTCTGAGCTCTTTGTAGCGATTCCAGAAATCTTCTATCTTATTAATTTTAAACTGATTTACAGATCTGTCTCTGTCTTTCATCATAAGTTTAAGCTGGGATGATAGCCAGGGTGCATGCGGTTTATTTACACGTACAATTCTTAGAGGTGCATGCTTATCAAAAATTAATTTTAGCCCATCTGTCAAATATGAAATTTTGTGATCAATACTCTCTACAGAATATATAATGGTCCAGCGAAAGTTTAAAACATCACTTTGAAATTATAAAATATCAAAATTTTTAAAGTCTCTGATATTAACGAATTTTTGCTTAGGTCTTTTAGACTGCAAAGTTGTTTCACAAAATACTAAAAAATGATCGGTAAATAAATCCATATTTATAGTCCCAGAATTTGAACAGACTTGAAGATCATTGATAAATATTTGATCCAGTAGGCTGCTCGATGTACTAGTTATTCTAGAGGGTTAGGGTTCTATAATAACTTGATGGAATCCATACGCATTAAAACAATTTTCTAATTTGTTGTCTGAACTTAAAAGATTTATATTCATATCTCCATCAACAACAACATAATCAAAGTTGGGTACCAGAAAAGAGAGAGCATTATCAAAAAAATATGATATGCCTTTACGATGGACATTAGAGCAAGATAATGACCCGAAGTTCGAAAAGGACTGGTTAAAACTAAAAAATGTAAATGTTCTTACATGGCATTCGCAATCCGCGGACCTAAACCCGGTAGAATATCTCTGGGAGTATGTTAAAACACAAATGACAAGAAAAACTTTGGAAAATAGGAACAATTTATTTAATTATGTAAAAAATATTTGGCAAAATATCCCAACAAAAGTCTGTAAAATATTGGTGTATTCTAGGAGCAGCAGATGTCAGGCAGTGTTGAATGCTAAATGCTATGCTACCAAATATTAGCTAAACAGCATTTTTAATTTTTTTTGTTATTGTATTTAATTTTGTAATAAAAATATGTTTCCATACTTTTGTCGTCTCATTTTTGGTCATAAAATAATATGAAGGTATCTTAATGCTAGTCTGTAGTGCCACAGAAAATACAAATTTTCATTTGTATCCTCTAGCTAGACTGTAAGCAAGCTATATGAGAAAAAATAGTCCATAATCATAAAAAATTAGCGCACTTTTTAAAAATTACTAAGAGTGTTTCCAAACTTTTGTCCGCTACTGTAGTATTACAACGTTTCAGAGATTCCTGCTCATTTTCAGACTTTGTTTAGAGGAATGAAAATTGTAGGGTGGGAGCTGTATGCGATGAATGCTTGTAAATTGTTGCACATTTGATGAAGACCCTCTATTATTAAGAAGCTGATAGTGATACTATAGCACTAGTTTGACATAATAAATAACACATATTTCTCTACATCTGCCATGAAAACAATAATACGATAGATTTACATTATATAGTTTAATATGTAAAGGTCGAAGATTCATCATACTTAAGTGCATTTATCTAATCACGATTCGGTTTTGCCTTTTGAAACGCATTGACTCATCCCTTTTCTTCGAAACCTCCAACTAAGGCATAGGAAGTATAGATTCAATCTTCTTAACGCCAAAGCGAATTCCTTAGTAATAATTTGCGTTCACCTTAAACGTAAATGAGTAAACTTACCCTATGTATGATTCCAGCGGAATGTAAGTGCTTGATGCCACAAAGCATTTGATAAAGTAGATAACTCATCCGTTCATGGTCCAGGTCCATTTGTATCACTTGACACAGGTTAGCGTCCATCAGTTCCATCACTAGGTACACATCTTGGAATTCTTCTAACGTTCTTTGGGGCGTGAAGGCATTCAACAGTCCTATTATCTGTTAATAAAATTAAAATATTCGTATTATTCTACCGTACAATGAAGATGATGAGAGTTTTAGGTTTACACTAGATGTCGACCGATAATGTGGCTGAAGAACCGATCGATAGAGCGCGATCGAAAACGTTACAAAGGCAGCAGTGCACAAAATTTGTCATTGCTTCATACCAACACGTTTTTTGGCTTTAACTGTGCGTAAATCAATGCGGTTTTCACGTAATATTGTTTATTTTATGTGTTTTTGTGTGTCATTGAGGTCTAGCCCCACTTCCCCAAAAACATGAAAATTATAATGGAAAAATGCGGTTTTTGCGTTAATCGCATAAGACAAACATACCTCAAGTGCCTTTGAGTGGACATGGCATTATCTCGTGGTTTGCCTCCAAAAAATATATAGATATAAAAAATTACCATGTTGAATCAGATCGGAAACCCGTAACTGTTGAAAATCACTTTACGCCCAAAATTTTTTCACGGATATCTGGTCAAATTAATGTGTTCTAATAGCCCCTGATAGTCATTTGCTCGAGCGGTGTCCGGAACATACTTTTTTAGGGTTAGGGTGGGTTTACATGGCGTTCTGACTAAAAAAAATATATTTAAAAAAAACTGGCTTACGCCCAAATTTTTTTTGTGCAAATCGTGTTTATTTAACATGTTCTAACATTCCACCAAGCCGTTTCCCCAAGGGGGTCTGGAACACCCCGCACTCCGATCAGAATTCGATCAGACACCTGTCATCATTCAAAATCGCTTTACGCCCAAAATTTTTTCACGGATATCTGATCAACATAATGTGTTCTAATAGCTCATGATTGTCGTTTGCTCGAGCGGGGTCCGGAACAAACTTTCTTAGGGTTAGGGTGGGTTTATATGGCGTTCTCACTAAAAAAATATATTACAAAAAAACTGGCTTACACCCAAAATTTTTTTGTCCGAATCGTGTTTATTTAACAGTTTTCAACATCTGCATTTAGATCAAACACCTATCTTGGACATGATTCTAAATGAGTTTCGATCGTTGAAATTGATTTAGATGGCGCCTTTGCGATTTTGAAAAATGACAGGTGTCTGATCGAAGTGGGGATGACAGTGTTCGGGACCCCCCTGGGGAAAACGGCTTGGTGGGGTCTTAGAACACGTTAAATAAACACGATTTCCACAAAAAAAAATTTGGGAGCAAGCCAATTTTTTTGAAATACAATTTTTTTAGTGAGAACGTCATATCAACCCACCCTAACCCTAAAAAAGTATGTTCCGTACCCCGCTCGAGCAAACGACTATCATGGGCTATTAGAACACATTAAGTTGACCAGGTATCCGTGAAAAAATTTTGGGCGTAAAGCGATTTTGAAAAATGAGAGGTGTTTGATCGAATTGTGATCGAAGTGTGGATGGGGGTGTTTCGGACCCCCCTGAGGGAAACTGCTTGGTGGAATGTTAGAACATGTTAAATAAACAAGATTAGCACAAAAAATTTTGGGCGTAAGCCATTTTTTTAAATATAATTTTTTTAGTGAGAACGCCATATAAACCCACCCTAACCCTAAAAAAGTATGTTCCGGACCCCGCTCGAGCAAACGACTATCATGGGCTACTAGAACACATTAAGTTGACCAGATATCTGTGAAAAAATTTTGGGCGTAAAGCGATTTTGAAAAATGAGAGGTGTTTGATCGAATTCTGATCGAAGTGCGGATGGCAGTGTTCGGGACCCCCCTGGGGGAAACGGCTTGGTGGGGTGTTAGAACACGGTAAATAAACACGATTTCCACAAAAAAAATTTGGGCGTAAGCCAATTTTTTTGAAATATAATTTTTTTAGTGAGAACGCCATATAACCCCCCCCCCTAACCATAAAAAAGTATGTTCCCGACCCCGCTCGAGCAAACGACTATCATGAGCTATTAGAACACATTATTATACCAGATATCCGTGAAAAAATTTTGGGCGTAAAGCGATTTTGAAAAATGACAGGTGTTTGATCGAAGTGCGGATGGGGGTGTTGCGGACCCCCCTGGAGGAAACGGCTTGGTGGGATGTTAGAACATGTTAAATAAACACGATTCGCACAAAAAAAATTTGGGCGTAAGCCAATTTTTTTTAAATAATTTTTTTTAGTGAGAACGTCAAATAAACCCACCCTAACCCTAAAAAAGTATATATATCCGTGAGAAATTTTTGGGTGTAAAGTGATTTTCAACAGTTACGGGTTTCCGATTTGATGCAACAAGGGCACTTGAGGTATGTTTGTCTTATGCGATTAACGCAAAAACCGCATTTTTCCATTATAATTTTCACCAAATAACTTTTTCGCGTTACTCACAACTTTGGGGATGTTTTTGGGGAAGGGGGGCTAGACCTCAATGACACACAAAAACACATAAAATAAACAATAAATATTACGTGAAAACCGCATTGATTTACGCACAGTTAAAGCCAAAAAAACGTGGTTGTATGTTGCAATGACAAATTTTGTGCACTGCTGCCTTTATCACGTTTTCGATCGCGCTCGGTCGATCGGTTCTTCAGCCACATGACCGATACGGGTTTTTTGCAGATACCGATAAACGCCTGTGAATGCAGCAGGCTGGCCGTAATCTTCGTATATGATAACAGGTCCCATCTATACTAAAATAAGACAAGTGCATTCGAGTTCAACCGTTAATTAGCCTTCATGGGAAAACGCGCCTGGAACCGTACTGTTCAATTAGCAGGAAAATGAGTTTAGACTCGGCTTCGAGGTACTCATATCCCCATCTGGATTGTTAGGGCCCCAAGGTCGGCCGCAGAAACAAATCGCTTTGATCTGTTGGTCGGCCGCATACAGATCGAAGAATTTTTTTGCGCAATGGTCGAAACGTATAAAATAAAATACAGAGTGTGTCCAGCGGGAAAGTTCACATTTCAAATTTGAATTACGCGGCAACCGTATACGCGAGGAAGTGTCGGCGTGCGGGTTAAATAGACACAATGGAACGTTGGACCGGAGCGCAACGTGTTTTTGCTATAGAGGCTTACTTTAAGAGTGGTGATTCATACGCAGCTGCCCTTCGGAAATTTTGTACACGATACAAAATTCGTCGACCAAGAGATGCCCCTATTGAAAAAGTGGATTAAGAGGTTCCGTGAAACAGGCTCTACTCTTAGTCAACCCATTGCTGGCCCCAGACCTACTGAAGCAACCGAAGAAAATGTGCGTCCAGTAAGTGATTCGGTCATTGCAAATCCTCGGCATTCTGAACGGCAGCATTCCGGTGCTTTCCGAATCATTAGGTCAATCCAACCAGTCCATGCTTTAAAGGAAAGTGATTACGTATTACGGAAATCTTGTGCTGAACGGATGTTGAATCTTTTTCCTGCGCAGCGCATACTCGAGAACGTTGTTTTCAGTGACAAGGCCCATTTTCACTTAGACGGTTAAGTGAACAAGCAAAATTGCAGATATTGGGCACCAACGAACCCAAAAGAGAAACATCAACCACAGCTACATAGTCCAAAGGTGAATGCGCGCCAGATCCTCTAGCGATATTATTGGGTTGTATGTCTTTCAAGATGAAAACGGTTATGCAACAGAACGACGATTTAACAGAAACACATGGTTTCAACAGAATGCGGCCACTGCCTATACTTCCAGAGAATCGATGAACACGGTGTAAGCACTGTTTCCTCAAAAAGTCGGTTTACTGAGTGCATGGAAAATGGGGGGCGCCACCTATCTGGTTTAATCTTCAAAACTATGTAAAGCAAACATTTAGGTCTGTATGTAGGCACATTATAAAAAGGTTCTGATTGGGTTTCATTAAGCTTTGAAAAAAAGGAATTTATGCTGCCGCACCCTGTATTAGCGTTTAGCATACAGCGCCATCTAAGAGACACTAACCCTTTTAAAGTAGATTTCTAGTTATTGCCGAAAGGAGCAACATAGCTGTAACAAAATCTCATAGACGACGCTACGGTATCTCATTTTATCTCCGATAACTTTATGGACGTGGGAATATAGTATTAGGTTGGCTATCTTCAGGTAGAATACGTTAATCAACGGCTCCAGCTATTGGCACCTAGCGGATTAGCTAGCTACGCAGGAGATTTAGTTTAGTATAAAACTTTTGTATGAAAAGAAAATTGTCAGTTTGAAATTCAAATTTTTCTTAAGCTCAGATACCCTGTGCACGCGCAATAGCTGGTTCATCTGTTCCGTACTTAAATCGACATTAATTAGTCCAATCATATTAGATGAAAATACCCCCGGTTTGCGAAATAATTGTAAAGTCTGGTTTTTTTGCCGCAAGGGGTTATTCAAAACATGGCGCATAAAATGGGTATACCAATTTTTGTGGAAAAACTTTTTATTCGACAACAAAGAATGAGAAAACCTGTTTTTGGGATTCAATCGAAAATACCGGCAGGAACGAAATAACTTCATATAAGATTTTTAGCTATTTATGAGACCTACATACAAATGAGAAAACACGTAAAAAGATCCAAATAATAGCAAAAAAGTTATGGCCGAAAACCGAAACAAACTGCAGGTTTTGGCACTTGTTGGTAATGCGACGATGGTTTCTCGCAGATATTTGAAATTCTTCAAATTCGTACTTGATTTGTCAAATAGTTTTTGAGAATTTCTAATTGTTTATCCCAAAACACCTGTTTTCCGGCCATCACTACTAGTTTACTGAGCAATATACGTACACGTACAGGGTTAGTTCAAAGGGCACACGTGTTTACCTTGCCGATATGAATCACAAACCATTCCGGAAGATAAGTGTTATTTGTATGCAAAAATAATGAGTTACGTTTTTTCTTGTATAGAAATCCAAACATTTCGTATTTGTGAGTAATTCGCATCAAAAGATGACAGACACAACCGCTTTGTTTTAAAATGTGTATAGTAATTGTATGTTTTTCGAATGTCGTAGCGCATTTGTTCAATTACTCACAAATACGAAAGGTTTAAATTTGTTTAGAAGAAAAAACGTAACCTTTGTTTTTCGCATAAAAATAACATTTATCTTTCGGAATGGTTTGTGATTCATATCGGCAAGGTAAACACGTGTATATTGCTATTAAATGCTTTTTGGGATAAACAATTTGAAATTCTAAAAAAACTATCCGACCAATATAATCCAATTTTGTTGTTATTTAGAAGTATGAATCCTATGGATTTGAAGAATTTCAAGTGGTTATATATAATATAAAAAGTTTTTTCGTTCCTATCAACACTTTCGATTGAATCACAAAAAAAAACGTTTTCTCATTTTTTGTTGTCAAATAAAAAGTTTTCCCACAAAATTGGTATGTATATTTCATGTTTTAAATACCCCCTTGAACAACTTGCATCAATAAAACCAAACTTTACAATTATTTCTGGGAAATTTGCTAGTATGATTAGACTAATGAATGGATGAAACGTTTTCAAATTTGAAAATAAAAAAGAAAGGTCTAATTTATCTATGCATGCCAAAACTTTATCACTGGGTAACCCAACAACAATGGAAAGTAGTGTTATAAGAAAACTGGAAAAAATAATAAAAGATCTGTCTGTCGTTTAGATATTTGGTCAAACGTCTAAAAAAATGCCCAGCTTTGACGACTCGCAGCTCCGCCATTTTCAAAGATATTTAAATAAATCTCAGTTCACAAAAATTTTATCATCATCGATTTTAAGCTCATCTGGAAAAAGTGCTGATTTTTGTTTCTATTTATATAAGGTATGTCAAAACGCAAAATGTACCATTTTTCAGAAATTTCAAATGGAGCATCTATACACCGTTAAACGTTTTTTTTTTGTGAACTTTTTTTGATACCAGGTTTATACAACTTTTTTGAGGTATTGCTATTAATTTCAAGAAAAATCAAATAGATTTTCTATTTTTAAATAAAAAAAGCTTCTATTAACACAACAAAAACAGTCTCGGCTTAAGGCAATCAAACATTAAAAGGGTTTGTCTAGGTATCCGCTTAAACCATGGCCCCAGAGAAAAAAGACGAGAGGCGTCAGATCGGGAGATTTCGCTGGCCAATTGATCGGTCCGCCGGTGTGAAAAAAATTATTGTTTTCATGGATGATTTGATTTAAGGTCTAAATTTGGAATATAATTTTTTTAATAGCAATAACTCAAAAACTGTGCGAAAAAAGTCTTATGTCAAAAAAGAAGTTTCCAGGAATACTATTTGAAGTTTATGAGAAAATGCACATTTTGCGTTTTGAGATACCCTATATAAATAGAAAGATGTTTTAGCATTTCTTTCAGATCAGCTTAAAATTGATGATAATAAAATTTTGTAAACTACAATTCATCAAAATATCTCCAAAAATGGATGAGCTGCGAGTTAGGCAGAGATTTCACTAAATATTATCTAAACAATTGAAAATAGAAACCATATGTTATATAGTATCAAAATTCTTTTTCAAATAGGCAATAAAATATAGGGTATTCTATTTAAAAAACACACCTTATACACATTAAACATATTTTCATTTCTTTTCCAGTTTGACCATAAAACTACTTTCGTTGTTTGAAATTATCTAGGAGTAACGTAAAACCATACAAACTTTTTTGTTTTTCATCAATATCGACACTTCTTGAGCTATTGAAATGTTTGACTATGTACAAAAGTGATATTAAAGACTTGGCGGGTTCAAATAAATCGGTATATCGGTTAAAACTGAATTTGGATTTTTTACCTTAAGGTATGAAATGTTCTCAGTCCATACTGCCTACCACTTCATTATATCCATTTAAATACCGAATACCCTGTATAGGTTCCGTGATAAATACGGACAGATCACAATAAATACTGTGACTACGTAGCTAACCTTGTTAGAAACAAAAAACTTACATTTTTATGATTGACTAATTTCATGAGCTTGAATTCCCTGTACGCCCTTTTGGCGTGCGTGACATTCTGAAAGGGCCTACTCAGCTTCTTGATGGCCACATTCTGTTGGGTTACCGTGTCCACAGCCGCACTGCAAAAGACCAAAAAACAATTCTCATTTCGTACAGTAGTCGTATTGATCGGAAGCTTAGCTTGGCCGTTGCCCAAAAACAATAGTTTATAAAGTAGCAGGGAAGAAGAAAAATAACTAATAACCACGTACCAGGCATGCAACATTCAGACACTACGTGAGTTAGTAGTCAGTAATGAAAAGTGTAAAATGAAGTTAGTACTTACATTGTGTGATTACCGTCGGACGATTTTGTGAGAGCCAGAGTGACAGTTGTGTGTGTGTATTTTACAGGATTCGTTGTGGTTCTCTCTCTTTCTTTGGTACAACCAAGACAGTTTTTATTGAAATATGTTATAGGATCATAGCATACGACGCACAAAACGTGTCGGGAGGGAAGGGGCTCCAACACCATGGTTGCAGGGTCCCCATAGTAAATAAAATTTTTGTTTTAACATAATCATGACCGCCTCCAACTCATCAATTTTCACTAGAGGCTTGTAGGATTGAGTTGTGCGCTGCCACTGGCCCGTCTAGCTCCCCATAATGCTTGTGTTTTGGGCTTCCGGATAATATGGGATCGATTTCCGAGTTTTTACAAGTACGTTTTATAATCCGATCATTTGATGATGGAATCGGAACCTAACTCAGCATGAAACATTTTAAACTTATCATGTGGTTTACATGTCATTAATCCCCCATTCTTGTCTGAACAATAAAACCACATGTATTAGCATATCTTTTTCACTGTAGTGAACGTTTCAATCACACAGGTGATCTTCTTCAGTACTATAACAATAGGTGTGTTCACTTAGTTTAGGTAAAGATTTCCGAATAAATGTTTGATTGCACATTCACCATATCTGTAAATACTAAAATAATCATACAATGTGTTTGGTCACGACATACCGATATTTAAGGGCGGTATTTTTCAGCTATTTTTATAGACAGATCCACCGCCCTACAATATCCTACCTCACCACCCTTGAAATGGCAGCCATTTTTATTTTTACGTTACGATTACGCTAGTGCATGTAAAAAATTGTAATAACTGAGTACATAAGTGTCACAGAATGATAAATTTGGTGTAATTTGAACCATAACGTGTTGTCCTAGCGATTATTGAAAGAATTATATTGATACTAACCGTCAAACATACTTAAAAACACACAAAAACAGAGAAACACATGCAAGTAAATTGATTATTTTGTGCATTTCCGCACACCACTCAAAAACTAGTTTGTGAAGTACTTTTTTGTGCTAATTCTACAGCTAACTATGCTATCTACAAAATGACACCAAATTTGTTACCCTATGTTAGTTATTTTAAGTACAAATATTGTTTAAACATGAGCATTGGCAAGCCTCCCCGATTTAGGTAGCGGACCGAATCCAACAATTCTGATATAGAGATGAATGTATTGAGAGTGTGAGTGAGACAACATCTATCGAAAGGTCTCGTTATCAAGATGGTATCAACCGGTTATTTGTTGTCAATATCATAGTGAGTGTTTTGTAGTCCCTCGCCACGCGTTGTAATCATACGTCCATTTTGTTTGCTGACTAGATTCAATGTCAATTTTCTGAACTATTTGAGTTGGAAGTAATTTGTGACTGAATATTTTATTAGTCATGCCTAAGTCTCTATCATGCCAAATAGTCCACGTAATAAATTTTCAAATCAACACGCTGCTGATATAGTGTTTGTTTACGGCTTTTGCAATGGAAATGCCGCAGCTGCTGTGAGAGAGAATCGAAGACGATTTTCTGACCGAATTACGCAAAGGGACTTTTATCTTTACATTCCTGAGACTAGCGGAAAATGGGATTCAAAGACCAGTAAACAACAGTTATCGGCTACTGTCTCCATAAGATGAAGAAAAGATTCTTAACCCGAGATCCGAGAGTTAGTGTGAGGAGGATCGCTGCAAGACTACACTTATCACATCGGTCGGGTTGGAGAGTCCTTAAGAGAGAAGGTTTACATCCCTATCATTTTAGAAGAGTTCAGGATCTTCATGAGCCAGATTATGCAGCCAGAATCATAGTTTGCACCTGGTTTCAACGGCAGCTGCGCCAACTTTTGGGAACAAATTCTGTGGACCGACGAAGCAAAATTTACGAGGCAGATTATCATAAACCATAGAAACGACCACTTGTGGTCTTTGGAAAACCCTCATACAGTTCGACCGAGCACTTTCCAACAGGAAACGGAGTCTCAGTCGGTCCAGTTGAGCTATCTCCAAGGTTAGATGCCCAGGGAGTTCTTGAGGACCGAGTTTGCAGATCTACACCATGATCTGTCACTTATCAACCGCTGCAACATGAGGTTGCAGCTTGGCGGAGCTCCCGCACACTGCGCGAATTGTACGAGAACATTTGGATGGGCTGTGGCACAATGAAATGAACAGTTTACTGTCATGTGTCGGCGATATGGAAAGTGCTCGTGGAAAGGATCCATACCGCTACGAACGGAATTAGAGCTGACACGGATATAGTCCGCCGCTCAACACGACACATGGTTTTAAGAGCAACAATGTGCATAACCAATGATGGAGGACATTTTGAACATGTCCAAACTCTTCATGAGAAACATTGATTTGTCATTTTTTATGTATAAAAGGTTTGAAAGCAATTTGCATTTTATTACACCCATTTTGACCAATGTTAGATAGCATCTATTACTTAACGTAGAATACTTAGGATAACACATTTGGTGTCATTCTGTACATAACATAGTTAGCTGTAGAATTAGCACAAAAAAAGTACAACTTCACATACTAGTTTTTGAATGGTATGCGGAAATGCACAAAATAATCAATCAATTTTCTTGCATATTTTGTTCTGTTTTTGTCTGTACTTAAGTATGTTTGACGGTTAGTATCAATTCAAGTTTTCCAAAAATCGCCAGGGCAACATGTTAACGTTCAAATGACACCAAATTTATCATTCTGTGACACTTGTGTACTCAGTTATTACAATTTTCTTACATGCACTAGTGTAACGTAAAAATAAAAATGGCTGCCATTTCCAGAAGGGTGAGGTAGGACATTGTTGGGGGTGGATTGGAAGATAAAAATAGCTGAAAAATACCCCCCTTAAATATGGGTATGTCGCGACCAAACACATTGTATATCATTTCTATTACAATGACAAATGTATGGAAAATATGTGTGACTTTTTCCCCCTATAGCCTTCCAAAAAGAGTTCTGAAAATGAGCAGGAGTCTGTCTCTGAAACATAAAAAAATCGAGGATTGAGCGAATTTTAAAACCTGCAAAGATTTTGCGCTCTTAGTATAGTAGTAACTTCGTGTTAGAGTTTCAGCAAAATCCGAGTGGCGTTTTAAAGTTTTTGAGGCACGAAGGATTAGCTACCACCGACGCGACGTTTCAAACATTTTTGGGGGTTGGTACATAATTCTAATGCACAAAAATATCCTCTTGCCGATGTCTAAAATTCTGAGCCTTTGAGCCGACACCAGCGAACACACCTGGATACCCCCTTTCCGATAGGATCTTTCCATAAAAATATTTTTATGAAGGGAAATTTTTCGGCAAATTCTATGTGTGAAATATTTCTAATAGGTGCGTAGAATTACCGGGGTTAGAAGCGGTTCTATTAACGTAAAAAATGAGATATGCCTTCCCCTACCCCCTGCAATCCCCACCTTCCATTTTTTACCCTTTAAAAAATCCTGAAATCAGCAGAAGTCTCTGGAACATCAAATCACGATGTCTATGCGATTTTAATTGATTTCATTTTTGGCGATAGCTTCGCCGCCAATAAATGAATTTTCAAAAACAGCAAAGCTTTTTCGTCCTCGACATAGTAGTAACTTTCAGCTTCAGTTTGTCACGATGTACATATTTCGTTTCTGTTTAGACTTAGAATAGAGTAGTGGGCAGCTTCAAAATTTAAAGGCACCCTAATGAGTTTGGATGAAAACTCGTTTTTGGGAAAATCGGATCCGTAGATCACGAATCTGATGTCAGCAGGGCGTTTTACCATAGGGATAAAAAGGTCATGACCCAGGATGCCAGGCCAATAAAAAATGTTGATTTTTTTCCGTTCCTTGGGGGCGCAGGGCGTCGAATCTTCAAATGCGCCACAGGATGTCAAGCTTTCAGATTGACAATAGATGATGCAGGAAAATGGAGATTTTGCATTATGGAACCTTAAAATTTGAAGCCACACTATCGAAAGGAAGAATTGAAAAATTCTTATTCTTGCAGTGATATAAAGGATGCGAGTTCAGGTGGGAACACAATATTACAATGAAGTAACAGTTTGCCTAACCAATAAGGAATTCGCCTATTATTTGACTTTTATATATACGTAATATATGCCCTTAGTTATTGCTTAACTCATAAAATAACTTTGTTTCTTCTACTGAATAATGCAAAAACTCACACTATACATACACAGTTGAATAACTTAATTTGATCAAGAATTAGCTTTAAATTTAAAAAATGTTGGTATAAGGGCCATTTTCAAAGGTAGATTGCGCATCGGGCCTCAGTATCCTGTCACGTGACGTCCGTTCAACCTCAGACACTCTTGGCCAGTCTCTCACCAGAAGTTTCACGTCTCGGTGTTGGTTTTGACACCATGACAATCAGCAAGCGCGCCGACTGTTCTAAGTTCGATTTTTAAACGCGAAAAAGGTCATACTGCTGAAATTCTACAGCAGCTTGTTGAATTAGGCGCGCTATTCAAAACCGCGGACGGGGCCTGTTCTTCAGCGGCATCGCTTTGCTGACCCTCACGTTGCGGCAATTACTGAATCATCCACCATAAAGCCCTCGCTTAGCACCATCATACTTTAATCTGTTTCCAAACCTTGAGGAATTTCTTGATGGAAAGCGCTTGGAAAATGATGACATGTTGAAAGAATCAGTTAATAACTGGTCTAACGGTCAGGTGGTAGCATTCTGTGATGACGGAATCCAAAAGCTGGTGCCACGAATTGACAAAAGTTTATAGTGACTATGTTTAAAAATGAAAAAATTATCATAGTTTAGTTTGTGATACAATTTACGTTCATAAAGTTTATCTGGCTCCATTCTCGACTCCTTACTTGAAAAATAAACCTCGTAGATTCCATACATATTTAGTAACCACAGCCTAGGGAATTTCAGTAATAAATAGGTATTTCACAGCAAATTTCGAAATTCATGTCCTGAGCCATTGATGCTAAGTTGCATGGATTTATCATCAATTTCACATTTTTATTATATCAATAAGTATCTACACTAATATCTTAAAAGCAAAAATTTGGATAATATATTGACACAAAGAAAATACGATTGATTTATTAGTCTAAAAGTCATTCCCTCATCTCGTCCGTGGGTCCGAAATTAATAACAAAAAGATATATACAATAAAATCTGTTCTTATTCTTATAAATTGAATATTACTTAAATATTGGGTAATAAGTATGGATTGTATAGTCAAGCTTTCATTGCTAAAAAATAAATATGTATATAAAAAAAATCTATTTAAACATTATGTCCCTTGAAATGAAATCATTCCCTCACCCATTATAAATATTCGTTTTCTGGTCACACCATTTGATATTTTTGAAGGCAGCTGTTATATTTTTAAAACTTGGCAATACTGCTAACACTGTCAACATGGCGAAATTTTGTAATAGTGAAAAGAAGTTGCTGCAAAAAAGTATTGGATTTCAATAATTAGAACATTATATTTCTCTGCGTCATTACCTCACTGTTCATATTAAAAGGTAAGTCATTACATTGTTCGAATGTTTTAATGATTTTTTTCTTGTTTTGGGGAGTAAAATGCATTCACAAAATGCCAAATCAATCTGAGGTGATGTACTGTTACGGTGTCGTTTATGCTTATCTGTCATTCCTTCTTGGTCATTCCCTCGCTATATTAGAAAGCGAGGGAATGACTATTATATGAGATAATCATTTTGGCATATATAAAATTGTGGTTTGGGTGTTATTGTTTAACTCCAGGTTGTACAGCATGTGTTTTTAATTTCAACAGATATCCGTATACCAAGAATAGTGAAAATTAAGAAGTTAAGTGAAGAAAAAGGAAATTAAAAAAGAAGGAGTACGACAGAAAGAGGCGAGAACAAATGAAAAGTAATGCTGAGTCTTTAGAGGTGTTGCGTGAAAAAGGAAGATTAAAGTATTTAAAGAAGAAGAGTAAAGGTCAAGTTAACTCAATAACTTCTATGAGTGCAAAAGAAGCTAGCCAAAAACGAAAACAATGGAAAAAGAATATTAAAGTTTATATGGAAAATCGAGTTACATTACAAACAAAATTACAGAGAACAGTTGAAGAAACACCCCCACCAAGCCCTGCACCATCTTTACAGTACAGAGCAGAGAATGAATCTGTTCTCAATAGACGTAGAATGCGCAAGCGGTAAGCGAAGATTAAAAGTTTGGATAATAAAGTAAGGAACGCAGTCAAGCTTAATGAAAAATACAAATTGAGGTATCTGTGATTGTAAACTAAAAATACTGACCCAAACTCTTCGCTTTTAAAGAATATACAAGTTCCTGACGTTGTAAGAAAAAGACTCAGTTTCGGAGAAGCACTGTCAACGGACATCAAGAATAACTATGAAGATCTTGGAAGTAAACATGGAGAAAGGAAAAGATATTACAAAATGTTGAAGATGCAAGTAGTGCGAAAATACAAATTGCTAGATAGATCCAAACATTTGTTCAAAAACGATACGTACAAAAAGAACTGTACTCGTAAAGTTAGCTCCAAAATGCTGAACGTTAATGTGCCCAGGAAAGAAGGACTATCTAAGCTCTCTAAAGTATAAAACAGATCTCAATACATCTAATGATAAATTAACTTATGTTTTTTTATTGAAATTCAGCATCAAATTGTTGTGAAAAACATCCTATCCCATCCTATCAGTAATTTCCTCATTTCATAGTTTTTTAAAAGTCATTTTTGTACATGTTATACCTACACAAAAATATGGAGGACCTTCATTTTAAATGAACCTCACTTAAGTAAAACTTTATATTTTCATTTTTTTTTAAGAAATGCAAAATGAAATTTCTAAATTTGTTGAGAAATACCCAAATAGTTGTATGTCAAACATTTATAAGTGCCTCAAACATTCTGAAGATCAAAAAACCTTCTCAAGAGCACATTAGCCAGAAACTTCCACAGATTTGTACCAACAAAACCCAATGCGTTGGTTACATTTTAATGATATTAGAATATCATAAAAAAAATGTCATTTATACTGAAGAAGGGCACTGTTGTGTCCAAAACTTATACCATAAAGAACATATGTGGTTTCATGGGCCGGACGTACATGGAGGATTATGATATAACATTGCAATAGTCAGAGTATTGCTTACAAGCTTTATTTTACAATTATATCTACTACATGACATGTTAATTATATTGTAATTCAATTACACGATTCTAGTTTCTCAGATATTACCAACGCAATGTCATAATTAATAAATTAATAACCGTTTTCAGCATTATAATGGAGTGCATATTACATGTTATGCCGAAATCTATTAGTGCTATTTTTAACAATTATTTTGGACAATTCAGACACACTAATAAATACATTTATTATTATTCCCAATGACACCTCATAAATACAAGCCAAAGAGGCGCTGTAATCATAGAGAGTATAATTTAATGTTTTATGGAGTGCTATAGCGATAAAGTACACAAACAGGAAAAAAAAACAGGATCAAAGTGGACAATATCACGTTCAGGGAGATGATATAAATTTAAAAATAGATGAGATCGATCTGATAATATTTGGAATCCATCCGATGATTTATTAGGTTTACACCGTAGTTTGCAAGGGTTTATTGAACTATTATCAGGTTCGGCCTGTTAAAACCAAACCAATCTTAAGATTAATCGTTATTATTAATTTGATATCAACATATTGCTTAAATAATCCCACTTCTTAGTAAATGCTTTCATATGTATCATAAACGCGTTAACAAAATGTGAAAATAAATAACATAGCAATTTGATATTAGGACTCTTCTTCCGTTTACAACAAAATACCGTTTCAACAAAAATTCAAAGGCCAAACATATTTGACGACAGAGTTGGTGTAATTAATTCTAGCACGACATGTCAGAGAAGGTAGATGTGAGAAAAACAGCATCAACCTTTAAAAATTTTAACAGTAAAAAATGCATATGTGTAAATAATGAAAATACTAAATGCAATGAGCTAATGTATTAAATATTTATTACTATCATTAACTAACATGCTCCTGAAGATGCTCAACTCTATGCTGTATTTGAACGTTCTTATTCTGTTTCCATTGTTGAGCCATGTTGGCAAGTAGAATCGCAGAAGTTCTAACAAGGCATCAAAAGTTTTGTTTATTCTTAGAATGTGACCCTACTTTTGCCAGAGAAGTGTTTATTCATAAGATTTCGTATTCAAAGAATGCCTCAACAGTCGAAAAGGCAGCAATGCTAATACTATCGAAATAAGACACCGCAAAGCGCCATCTATTACACGAATAGGCAAGTACGTTGCAAATTACAAGAACCGAGAACAGTCATTAAAGATCAGTAAGGGGGAGGGGCCACCACATTGTCATAAAAAGCTATTTCTGGGTACTATAAATATGAAGACATATTGGCAAACTCAGTTAAGACACTTTACTAACAAGTTCGTAAAAATGGAAATTTTTCCTTCAAAGTTAGTGTCAATGTCGAAATTTAGACTAACATTTACTAGAAGAATCCTTCTAACCTCAAGGTGTACAATAGGGTTATTGCGTAGACATACCTGTACTGACCTGTTTTTTACCAAACTATGTTGCAAACTTACAAGACATTTTTATTGGTCATAAATACAATAATTTTTAGTTTTCTGTATGCTCAAATAACGTTGATGGCATATCTTAGGTTAAAGTTTTGAAAGAACCAATTTCGTCTTTTGGTCAAAGGTCTATTAGGGCACTAATTTGGTACGCAGTCACCAATTTTTGACAAAATATTCAACTCTCAAGGCAGTTCAACTTTTGAGGACATTATCCAACGATATAATTACTAAAATTTGACAAATTTACGTAACTTTTCTTGGATAGTAGCCTACTTTAGCAAAATGCTAGTTGGGAAGATCTTTATTTCTGTTGCAGAAAGAGAAGAGAGAGTAACCACGTGATCGTCCTGTTCCTTCTCCAACCACCTACTTACCAGACCAAACCCTGCGCTCCCCCGCCCTTGGGCTCCAAATTGATGTACCTTTCTGGCACCCAGAATTCGGCATCCCCGAACACGTGCTGCCTGAAGCCGTCCCTGATCGGCGAGGGTGACGTCATCGCTCCTCCCACAGACACAAGCGACACACCAAACCACTTTTACACAACAACACAACAAACGCTCAACTCAAATCAACTAAAAAGAAAGAAATCAAAGTCTAGCGTAAGTGCGCTACTGGTGAAGAAATGTTCGTTGTCAGTAGTGCAATTTCATTGATTTTTCAACAAGTATATTCCTTTATGTGATCTCTTGATTCCACTTCCTATAATTCTATTATCACTAATATTATTACCAAAAATATATTAAAAAATAGTCAGGACCAGCATTGTCGTTCTTTGGCTTGAAAGCTATAAATTTTTAAAACGGCAAAAGCGTTAAGCGTTTGGTTTAGTTATTCACCTAGCCGAGCGAAAGCTTTAAGTTCTTGCCTGGCACAACGGTGCTTTTTCAAGGCTACTAACATACTCTCGGTTGAAAGAGATGAGCGGCTAAGAGTGACAGTATGATTTCTGTCTACGTCAAACTGGTAGCTTCAACTAGCAAAGAAAATCAATGCAGGCAATATCTAAAAAAGATTGCCATATTCATCATGTATCAAAGCGTGATACAAAAGTCCCGGAACGACTCTGTATTTTCTCGGGTAAGATATTTTTGGAAAAGATCAAGGTCAAGTCTCCAGTAACTTTCAGCAAGGAATTCAACGGCGACCTTGAATTTGACCTTAACCTTCACGCTCAAGGTTAATTCAAGGCCAACTTTATTTTCCAAATAGAAACGCCTATATGATTCCGACAATTCAGAGTGTCGGAACTTTTATGTTCAAATGTGTATTAGAATTCAAGATCAAGGAGATCACTAGAAGTCACATAAAGGCCAAATATGTGCTGTTAGCAAAGCTAGAAATGTCACACGAATAGTGACGAAAATAACTGATTAAGGTCAGATCTTTAGGTAAGTTTAAACAAGCGAACTATGGTGGTCGTTACAAATGATTTTTAACCGATACTGTTCCTGCGGGATTCAATTTGAAAAAATGACCTTTAATGTGAAGTCCAAAATCAAATGCAGGATCACTCTTCAAAATTTACTGACCTTGACAGTTATTTTCATGACATTTACAGAGGTTTTCCTAACAGCACACATTTGATCTTCATTTGACCTTCAGTATTCATTCTGACCTTGGAATTATGTTTGAAAGTAAAATTTCTGTTATTACGATTGCCGGTATAAAAAATTTGAAAAAATTAAGTTGACAGTACATTAACCTTGGAGGTGGAGGTCAAGGTCAAGACCTGACCTTGGTCTGTTCCAAAAAATACCTTACCTAAGAAAATACAGAGCCGTTTCGGGACTTTTGTGTCATGCTGTATATTCCATCAACTGGATGACAGTTTGCTTTATTTATTAACATAGGTAGTTAGAAAATCGAATATTTTGTAATAAAGCATCAGTGCCTTATTAGTACAGTAGAACCCCGATTATCCGAATCGCGGTTATCCGAAATCCGCTGTATCCGAAACAGATCGCATACAATAATTTCTCCGTTTTAACCGAAGTTGCTCGGAAAATCGACGCATGATCCGAAATAGCCGCCGATGATTCCCCAAGCGCGTTTGCGGAACTCACTGGTATGTGTACTTGTATGTTTGTTTCGGTCAGGTTCATAATCGCTAAGATGGAGCAGCATAGAAATGAACGTAAGCGCGTCGTTGTTACCATAGAACAGAAACTTGAAGCAATCAAACGTTTAGATAGAGGTGATTTGCTTAAAAACGTGGCAAGTGATCTGGGTATGGGCGTGAGTACCATTTCAGAATAGAAAAAAAACAACGCGAGAAAATTGAAAAGTGATCTATTGTTCTGACATCATCGCAGCCCTCACGGAAAACCATAAAAGGGGGGAATATCAAAAAGTCGATGTGATTTACACAGAATCGAGAAAGTAGAATACCAATTTCCGGACCAATTCTAAAGCAACAGCCAGTCAACTTAAGTGAAGAATTGCCAGTTATTGAGGCGCCTGATAACTTTACAGCCAGTGATGGTTGGCTGCATAGAAGGAAAAAACGACATGGTATACGAGAATTAAAAGTTTGCGGAGAAAAGTTATCTGCCGATAAGTCCGCTGCATTGAAATTTGGAGAACATTTTAAAGCATTAATGAAGCAGTATGGTCTAAATCCAGAACAAATTTACAACTTCGACGAAACGGGCGTAAACTATAAAATGTTAGCGGCGAAAAGTTAAGCTTCAAAACAAGAATCTGGAGCTCCTGGTTACAAACGCAGTGAAGAACGTGTGACTATCCTTGCTTCTAGCAATGCTTCCGGTACACACAAATTTCCTTTGTTGTTAATCGGAGAATCAGCTAAAGAGCATTTAAACACGTCCTTTCCAACGCTCTTCCAGTGTGGTATAAGAATCAAAAAATGCCTGAATGTATGCCGCTATATTTAAGGGCTGGTTTTACAATCATTTTGTTCCCAAGACAGAACGATATTTGAGTGAACACGGATATCCGATGAAATGTATTTTGCTATTACACAATGCTCCGAGCCACCCAAGTGAGGAGCAACTTAAGAGTGGAGAAATACGAGTGATGTTTTTGCTCCCTAATGTAACGCACTGATTCAGCCAATGGATCAAGGAGTTTTAGAAAATTTAAAATGCAATTACAGACGTTTGTTATAAGACCAAATTTTAGATCAAGTTGATAATGGTTGTAACCTCGTTGATTATTCAAAAGAGATTAACCTCAAGAATGTGGCATATTGGATAGCAGACGCATGGAGACAAGTAAAAAATTCTACTTTACAAAAATCTTGGTCGACAATAATTAAGCAAGAAATGTAACCTTGCGCAGACTATGAGAATAACAACGAAAATTCACATGAGCTCGTCTTGAAAATAGCAGGGTGTGAAAATCTTACCCAAGCAGATCTTGGTGAGTGGATTAATGGTGATCAATTGGTGCAACAATTAACTGATACAGAACTAATAAGAACTGTTTGTAACAATGGCGATGAGACAGTTTTAAGGGATGCTAATGACAATGAGACAGGAATATCTGCCAAAATAGCATATTGTTAAGGATTAGAAGCTCTACAAAAGGCGTTGACTTACGTCCAACAACAAGAAAATGCGACAGCAGCTGATGTGCTGCTTATCAAATGTTAGAGGGATATATATTCCTTTGTTACTAAATACTCGTAAATATGTACGTTTTTATCCACATGTTTATGTTTTACGTAACTTTATATAGGTATATACTCACTTAACACAAGTACAGTGGACCTCCGGTAATCCGACAAACATTATGCAGGGCAGTGTCAGACTATCGAATTTGTCGGATTGCAGAGCACTGCCTAAGACCCCCTATAGTCCGGAATTTTTTACAAAAGAGTACCTTAAAATCCGACAAATTACATATCCAATGGTAAGATTATAATGTATATGTATGTACTTTGAAGTACAAATCATACATAGTTTATGTATGTCGAATTTAGTACCTAAATTAAATAACAATAGAGAGCTTACGTTTTATTATAAAATTAAGCACAAATGCACATACATATGTACCAAAATAATCAAGAATTATTAATCAAAATCATTAATGAATTTATCAAATTATGAAGCTTGGAAATATTCACCAATTTTTTTTGTTTAAGGTTGTTATAACGCGAGATCAGAGCTCTGTCCCTCAGTCTTCTCAAAAGTAAAGTTCGTTGTAGGATGTACCATTCTCTTCAGCCCATTGCAAACCTAGCTCAAAGGCGTTAATTGCGTCTTGTGCTGTGACTTATGGAGCAGTTGCAATCACGTCGTCGTTATTTTCCTGATTGTTGTATAATTAGAAACCTCTTTTATAATCTCTTCGTCAGACATTTCATGAAAAACATTTTCCTCTTTATCCATTCCACGGCACCAGATTTCCAAATCTTCCGGACTTATCTGTGTTTCAGTAGCGACTTGTTCTATAACTTCCGAAGTCACACTGATTTGTGGAACGTTGCTAGGAGTGGTGACTATATCTGGCCATCACTTTTTCCAAGACGACTTAGTAGTTGATGACGGTAACGCATTCCACGACTGACAAAGAGCAAACACCAAGTCTTTCATATTAAATTCTTTAAAAGTTTTTTCTATTGGTTGCTCTTTTGATACGGCTCTCAGAAGTAGGTTTTCCTTATAGTCTTGCTTGACAAACTGAATGATATTCTGGTCCTTTGGTTGAATCAGTGCAGTGCAAGTTGGCGGAAGAAACATCGCAGTGATGCATTTATCCTCAGTTGTTAGTTCTTCTTCAGACGGATGACCGGGAGCGTTATCAAAAAGCAACAACGCTTTTTGATGAAAATTATAATTTTTTAACCATTTTCTAACTTCAGGTACGAAGCATTCATCAAACCACTTTTTGAAAAGGTATTTTGTCATCCATGCACTTTTTTGTCCGTAATAGTGTACAGGTAAATCGATGTTTTTGAATGCCCGTGGTTTATTAGATTTCCCAATCACCATCGTCTTAAGCGCGTGTGTGCCCGCAGCGTTAGCACATGGTAGTATGGTTACACGCTCTTTACTTACTTTTCGTCCAGGTACGGATTTCTCGTTACAAGAAACGAAAGTTTTGTTAGGCATCACCCGCCAAAAAAGCCCTGATTCGTCTGCATTGTACACCTGTGACAGGTCAAGATTTAAATCGTTCACCTTTTGCAAAAATCTTAATTTAAAGGACTCTATGCAGGTGGCATCGTTAGAAAGTTTCTCTCTTGTAATAGTCATTAAACGTTCTAGCCATCCTTTGCTGGCCAAAAAATCACCTTTTTTTGTTATTTCCTTATAAAAAAACTTAGCTTTCATGGCCAACATGGGTCCTGAAATTGGTGCATGCCTATTTCTTTCCTGACGAAACCACATGTACAAAGCTTCTTCCACTTCTGGATGTTCAGCTTTCTTGAGTGTCTGTCTCTTGCCTGGCCCGCAGTCAGTAGTTGACACGAACTTCTTGATCTTCTCGTAGTTTCTTTTGTCATAAATTGTAGATCGGCCTACGCCGTATTCACTTGCTAAACTACTGAAACTTTCATTGCGATTTAAGCGGTCTAAAATATCACATTTTTCTTCAATTGTCAATG